CACAGCAGACACAAGGACCATAGTGCATCAGAAACAGCCTGTGGCCAGGTAGTAGCGCACACTTGTAACCCTAGCACTTGGAGGCTGAGGCAGGAGGGTCATTGCAAGTTTGAGACCAGTCTGAACTACAGAGTGAGCCCAAGGCCAGCCTGAATTGCATAGTGAGACCCTGTCTCCAAAAGACAAAAACAACAACAAAAAAAAGAGGAAGAAAGAAAAAAAGTGTGTGTGCTGGCAGGGACCTGGCTTTATCAGGAAAAAAAAAAATTCTTTATGTTATGACGAGTACAGCAAAAATAACTAGAAGTACTGCTCTTCTGACCCCATGAGTCTTCCCTATCCCATGATTCCATTTTGGGGAGTAGAGGTAAGAATCGTGCAGTAGTCACAAGTGCTTTGAGTTGTCAACTCATGTTTTACTTTGTCCTAGTTGGACATGAAAGGAGAGAGAACCTTTCTTAGTTTAACACATGGAAAGAGGTTCTAGCTAGTATCTCTGTTTTAGGTCTCTGGGGTAGAGGACAGATAGAGTTAGGCTGGGGATCCTGGCTCTTTCCCTTTGGATCCTGAATTATATTTGGGTATAGGAAGCAGCCTCTTAGGAGTGCCTGTGGGATCAGAGAATGACCCAGAAAAACCCAGGCTTGGGGACAGGCAAGTCCTGTAAAGTACCAATAGGTTCTGATCATCCCAGTGTGGTCCTCTCTCTTTTTATATTATTATTTTTTTTTCTTTTTCTGTAATTTAGGGAAGGATCTATGGGGTGTTCAGGGTCTCACTACTAGATGGGACTCATAGTGATTCTCCTGTTTATAGCCTCCCAAGAGCTGAGATTATAGGTGTGCAACACTACACCCAGTCCCATTCACTGCTCAGTGCACCCTGGGTGGGGGCTGGGCTGGCACGGCAGGCCCAGGTAGCAAACCCCCGGCCCCTGTGCCTGCTTGCAGGCACTTTAATCCGCTGAGCTATTTGGCAGGCCCTATTATTACTATTACTATTATTATTATTATTTACATTATTAAGTCTTAGGATGATGCAACAGAGAAAAAAAAATTAATCTTGAGCTGTCTCAGATTGAAGAGATTTTCCTCTGGAGAATGTTCCTATTTTAAGTGGACTGTTTGTTGGGCTTTGTAAATACCGCTATAATCCAGTCACAGAACATTTCCATCACCTCCAACGGTTCACTCTATTCTCAGTCCTCC